GTATTTTGTACATCATGGACTGAGTCTGATATCTTTTAAACAAGTATTATAAATAAACGTGCATTTATTTTTGTTTTTGGAGGAGTGTGATTCAGATCTTAAGAAATGTTGGTACCACTTTACAATAAGACTACCCTTATAAAGGGTTTACGAATAGTTTGTAATTCATTTATTAATTAGGTTGTGAACACTTTATAAATCATGAATAAGCTTTTATAAGACATGAGATAAACAGGGCAACTGTGACCGGTTGCTTGCCAAATAGTGAGCCCACATGTATCTGTACTGCTAAGTCTTATATTGACTACCTAGCTTACTTCGTCTTCTTCATCAGCTAGCATCCTTGGTATCTGTTGCTCACTGAGTTGATTCTCGCGAAGTAGCCAATATAAGGCTTAGTCATCTTGCCAAATAGTGAGCCTGTGTTGAAGAATGTTAGAACTGGTTTATAAATGGTTCTTAATGATTAATAAAGTGTATACAACCTAATTATAAACCTTTTTATCAATCCTTTATAAGGGTAGTCTTAGTGGTACTGAAATATTTGACAATTAAAATATGTTCATCTTTTAAAATCTATTAGCAAACTCTGTTTAAGATACTCTGTTTGATATAGTTAGGAATATAACCACAGTCGGTAAAGGCTATACGAGGCAGAGAGTGAGAGTGCAATGTGCTGACATTAGGCTGTCAGTTAGCAGATTGCTTGCTCTTCATTTCTTAAAAGTCTCCGGTGAAGACGTTGCCTGTAGGGAGTTCTTTGCTGCTCAGTCTGGTATTCATCTGGAGTTAAAAAACTCTACGAATGCTCAGTTTGAAAAAAAGCATGGTTTCCCAGGAGGCTGAGCAGTGAACTTTCCCCACATCATTGTATTGACTGTAGATTTGCTCTGGAAAGAGTGGTTATTTGTAATATCATTGTTCTGCAGCTGTTATAACATCCAGCTCTTTGAAACCCCACCGCTGCATCCTGAGGCAGCGCTGGGCCATTAGTTAGTCAATCAGCCACCTATGGCTGCGGTGGTCTTCCATAAATACCGTATGTACGCCAGAGTGAGTTTCATTCCATGGGTCCTTCCGTCTTTTTGTTGGTCGTTCTCAGAGCAATCATTCATAACAGGCTTCTCTGTGATGTTTCCCACCTCAGGGGGGGTTTGATTCTGGATTTAACTGTGGGGACACAGAGGGGGATTAAACTGAGAGAGAACATGTGGCCCTTTTGAGGCTTTTTCAAATCCTCTACTTCTCTACAGGATACAAGTAAGGTACCCACTCTGTTCAACAGCAAGCAGAGAGAAAGACAAAGCCTCAGCTTTCTTATTTAATCCAGCTCAATCATTAATCATCAGGTCAATGATGTTAAAAAGGCACACTGGTGTTACTGTAATAGTTACAACTTTAAGCATTTATTCAATAACGAAGCATGTGCATATGCTTTGAGCTAACCACTCTCTGAGCAGTAAATGCTGATGGTAGTGATACACTACTTTTGCAATGAGAGCTTTCAGCACAAATATACTTTTTGTAGCATGGTTTGTTTTGCCAATACTGGGCTGCAGCCTACAGTATATCATATATGGAAGCAGTACAGCCTAAAATATAAGAGTGACTGCAACAACGATGTGAAACCACTGTGGTTGTGTGTGAAAGATTGATTCCTCGCACAATGGATGCATCTCAAAATCTGTCTCATCTTCTGGCTTGAGAAGATCTCATCTGGTGCTGGAGGACAAACTCCAGCGATTTCAATGGCTAGTAGATTCCTTGAACATGGCAAGGAATCAAATCCCTAAGGTTTATAATGGACTCCATGGTGGTAAAAGAAGCTGGATGGGCCAAAAACAAAATGGCAACGAACTGTGACGGCTGAGTTAAAGGAGATAGATCTAACATGGGACAAAGCACAGCACAAGACAGGTCTCCATGGAGACAGCCTTGTGTCCCATCAGGGAAGAAGAGGATTAAGCTCAAGTGATATACCAGTATAAGGTTAGACAAAGTTAAGGCAAAAGCTCCCTAGACAGTTTATGCCTCAACAGTTTATAATATTAAAACAAGTCTTTTTGTTCTTTTTTTGTTGAACTCCCTTTTATTCAACCTGCCTTGCTCCATTAATGAGTTCTAACATGTCCTCTGACAACACCAGCTGAATATTTGACATAAGCTTAAAGCCAGGTCAGAGCTATTTAAGATAAGAAAAAAGAGTTTGAACCACCTATTTAAAATGCAATAGTACAGTTCTTCAGACTACATTATGTCTGTGAAATACCCCATCATTAATGTATTGTATCTTCATCTGGCCAGTAACTCAGGAGAAATCCCCCCCTGTTTTCTTTAAAGAAATAAAATACAACAAACTATTCTACACAGCAGTAGGCACACTGCCTGTCTTTGTTTTGACTACCTCCTCCAGCAGCCACAATATAAGGTTTAACAAAGGCTACTTAGCTGGAGGCAGGCTGAAAACCAAACAGATTTACTAAATAAATAGTATTCGCTGACCACTTCCTGCATCTAAGACAATACTAAAATTAGGGATAATTGCTTGTGTTTCTTTTGGAAAAAAGTGTTAAAAAACGGACGAATTAACACCGTAAATAAATGTCTTTTGGTTGTGGGGGAAAATGGCATATTTTATTGTAAAGAGCTCCAATTACTTGACAGGCCATTCGTCTGTTTCTGAATAATTGCTTCCAGAAAGGCGATATTTTTGGACAGCATGACGCAAGTAAGCATAAACACAGTTATTAGTGCTTAGGAAACTGCAGGAGACCGAGCACAGGACAGGGAAGGAGGAAAGGGGATATTTGAATCCCCCATGGTGTTATTAATGTGACCAGCACCACAAAGCATTGACCACCTCCTGGTCCACCGCAATGGGATGGCAATAGTATTTAAAGGAGATATGCAGTGTTTTGCACGTCTTTGCTATTGATCACTCAACAAGCTTCTTAAGACATTCAGAAATAGACATCACTTGTTTCTAAGGAACTAGCAGCACCAATCCTTCCCAAGGGTTGTGGTATTTGTTACAGCTTAATTACACAGAAAACAAACTGCTGATATCTGATTGTTGGACTGCTCAAAACCTTTGTTTAACTGTGATGGATAGAAAAGTATTGATTTGAACACCATCGAGGTTAGATGTTACTTTGATTGATGACTCTACCACATCGTAGAACAACCATGAAAAAAAATGTACTGTCTAAAGAGATGAGTCAGGTCGACAAGAAAACATGACTCAAAGGATTCTTATCAATATCCAGGGGAGGAAATACTATTCAATTTCAACAACAGTCCCCTTCACTTTAAGATCAACGCAGATAAATGGATGGAAATAGATTGTTGCATCTTGTTCTAGGCATTTACATTTAGTATCTGGAATCAGTTAGTGTGCATAATGCGATTGCTACTCGAGCTAATAGCTGTTGTGAAGGTCTCCCTCCTTTTTTTGTTTATATGTTGTTGTTGTTATCCTCTGGCCCTGCTTCTGCCAACCCCCTCCTTGGAACATCTGCGATAATGTGTTCACCCACACTCACAGCAAGCCCTTAAAATACATGAATCATCCTCGTAGAAAAAAGGGTGTGTATGTCGATGTGTGTGCCTCTTTATCTCCATTTAAGGGTCGTTCAGACACACATGAGAAAATCATTTGTCTTTATATGTGCACATTAGTGCGTGCCTTTGAAGGAATGATTGAGTGTGAGTGTGCATGTGCGTTCGTTTGTGTGTGTGTGTGTGTGCATGTGTGCGTGTGTGTTCCTGATCCTAAGCTGGAGAGCTGTGTGGGTAGAAGCGTCCTGTCTCTGTGTATCAATTGATTTCCAGAATCCAGATGCTCTATGCAGAAAAGTGCTCTGTGCTTCTGCTCCCATTTAAGAGTGTGTGTATGTGTGTGTGTGTGTGTGTGAGAGACATGTGTATGTGAGAACTTGGTAAGAAGGTTCGAGAGTGACAGATCAATAGACCATGAAGGTACAGTGACACATAAAACTTTAATTTTCCAAGATCCAAACAGCAGTCTGTGGGAAACAGCTGGCTGTTTAGTTATTCATGACAAGGCGTGTTTTTCGTGCCTACATATATATGTGTGTAAGTCAGTTGTCTATGCATGAGAAAAAGAGAGAGCGAAAAGTGTCAGAACAAGTGTGATAAACAGTGGCGCCGTGGAGATAGGAAGACACACACACACACACTCCGCATTTAGGAACTCTAGTTATCCAGAAATTACAAACCCATCCCTTTTTTGGCAGTTGCACCAGTTTAGCATATTCTCTGCAATGTGGTTTACAGGTCTTTAGGTCTTAGCTGCATACAACAGACTAACGATGGATGGTGGCCATTACATCTTTATGTATACCTATTTGTAATTAATATTGATTTTAATCTAGCATGGACACATTTGAATTGGCATCTGCATTTTGCAAAATGTCATGCTCATGCCTCAATCCTCAACAGAAAAATACTGAATTCCATACAATGGGATACATAGTTACAATTTTGAACGAAGTAGGGCCTATAAATGAATTTGGATTGTTTGGAAAGCTACTACTGTGAGTATTACTGCTAAAACAGGGTCTGGATATGTCTGCGACTTTTCTCTATTATTGAGCTGGTTTGTGGAGCTGTCCATTGTGCTGAAATATTTATCCCTTCCAAAATCATCCATTGAAACAAAGCTGTGCCCACTGGAGGATAGTCTTTTACTCCCTTGGCTGAGGAGGTAAATACCATCTAAATATATTCTGGATACAAGTTGAGTTTTAAGAAATAAACTGAATCAATATATTCATTTATCATAAACCACCTCCAGACCCCTTATCCTGCGACCTGTTGGGGGGTCCCAATCACTAGCTTTGCAACCAGCAGGGTCTCACAAGTGTCTGTTATGACAAGCTGATCTTTATTGAATGGGTTTGACCGGTTTTTACACCAAACCTCCAAAGAGTCTTCAATATTAAAAACGCACAAGTGCGTAATTAAATTATCATGACACTCTCGCTCACACTCATTGTCAGAGCGCAGCAGCGGGAGCACCGGGGCATGGGCAGGGTTGCCAGCTCTTGAGTGTTATTCCGTGTGGGAGGAGGAGGAGGAGGCTGGGTGTGTTTGAGAGTATCTAGCCTTCTCTCTGCACGCTCTGCTGTGCGCACTGACTGAAGACAAAGCGCAGAGAGGAGTCCACCTCTCCATGTGATGTGCAGCCGCTCAGTGAGGGCGCAACCGTAATCTCAGATACTGCCCCTCGTAAAAAAAAAAGAAGAAGAAGAAAAAAAACATTTTATTTACGCTGCATGCGGACAGTTAAGTGCGTCTCTGCTTTGTTGAGTGTTTCAACTCAATCAGTGCTCCCACCTCTCCAGCCTCAACATTTGTGAAGTGGCTGCCTCACCCGCTCGGACCGGAGGCCGCCTGGTCTCCGATCTGGTCTCCGGAGTCACCGGAGAGTCCACGCGCTCCGTCAGGGCCAAGCTGTGCGGCACGCGGATCAGACCCGAGCCGCCACGATCACTGGCCATGGAGATGATGGAAGGAGACGTTACGGACAAATTAGATGACATGTCTTCGGTGTACGACTTCGACCCGCTCACCGGCAACATCCCCGCCACCAAAGTAGAAATCACCGTCTCCTGCAGGTGAGTTGAGGCGTCCGCAGTGAGGAGAGGAAAGTTCGTTGAGAGGAATGTGTGGTAGAAAAGTTGTGACAACGCCCCACCCTTCCTGTAGGATTCTGTTATTCGGCGAAATTATGTGTGATAAATAGAGACAACTTGTTCATTACGCACCCGTTGTAATGAATTACAGGTTTTGGGTGGGGACAAGGGCTGCCACTCTGCATGGTTTAGTTTAACAATAAATGCGTTGACCATTGTTTATACCAAGTCTTCTTTTGTATTATTACTTGATTGATTTGTGTGTATTTCTGGTAGAACACAAAGTTAAAAGCACCTCTAAACTGTTCGACATGTCCCATTACCAGTGGTTAGAGTTCTGGAGATTTGCAGAACTTCACATTAGTGATAGCTGGCGTTTAACATGCAAAGGAAAGGTATGTGCACAACGAGACAAGCTCTTATTACTGCAATACCAGTTAAGAAGAAAATCTCCTCCTACTGTTGGGTGACACTAGCACAACGCCCTTTCTGTATGTGCTGTACCAATAGTCACACTCTACAAGTCAAAATCTAGGAATCTGCACCTGGCTGAGGGGTTATCTGCATGGATAGTGGTGCCCTAGAAATAGAATATGTTTTTTTTTCTCCAGGTACTGTAGGTTTTCACTGACAATGATTGTTTACCTTAGTCTTTGGTGAAAACAAAAATGTACCAATACTAAAAAAGTCAAGAACAAACATGAAGAATAAAACAAACCTTACATTTTTTTTAATGTTCTGAGCTGCATAGCTGTGTGCAAAATGTTCACAAATATTGAACAGGGGATGTGCTAAAGATCAAAGGAGATAGAATATGTGCAATGATGTATGTCACCTCGGCTGTTTCAGCACCTGCATCTCCTCTCTCTTCTTTATAAAGAACTGAATGTTGAAGATTGAAATGTTTACATTAGATTCACACAGCATCCATGTCCCTGGCCCTCATCTTAATCAGATCTAATTTAATTTTAATTTTTAGGTATTTCTCTTTCAGAAAGTAGCTTGCTCAGAGAGAATACACAGTCACTCCTCTTCCCATTAAGATTTAAAGTCAAAGCTTTCAAGGCCTTTCTCCTCTCAGATTTACAATCTCCTGCTGGCATGTGTTTGCAATACTCTCTCTCTCTCTCACACTCTCACTCACACACACACACACACACACACACACACACACACACACACACACACACACACACACACACACACACACACACACACACACACACACCACACACACACACACACACACACACACACACACACACACACACACACACACACACACACACACAGAGATATTCACGCACACACACATGCTCACATCTCTCTGGTCTTTGATGCTGGGTTTTGGGTTGGTGAGCCATCGAAGCAGAATGAGTTTGAGCTATACCAAGCTGTGTGTGCATTATTGATGGAATATCTGCTGTTCAGAGAAGCTCACTGCCACATCTCTAAGCTCAGGGTAAAAAAAAAGCACAAACACTGGAGATGAGTGTGTTTTAATTTACTGAATGAAAAAGCATTTGCTCGTTTGTGTTGAGAAGGATATTGTGGGCGATAGTGGAAAAACAGTTTAGTTTCAGGCAGAGAGGGTGGAGAGCAAAGTGTGTTGCATACACCAGTCGAAGCCCTGCATGGATGTTGAATTTGTCAGCATTTAATGATGAGGCTATTGGGATTACATGCCTCAGTGATGTGCAATTAAGCACCATTCAGGTAAATGATAAGTACTCTTCTGACAACTCCTTGCATTTATGCAAATTATTTATCAGACATGTGTATGAGATTGTTGGTAATTATGTGCTGATGTGAGTTGGAAAAAGAAGGAGACAGGCAGAGTAATGGTGCAGAGGACTCCTATAACAGAAAGAAGAGGATTTTGGGAAGAAGAAATCATTAATTACAAGAGCTTTTTCCTCCTGCTTCACTGCTGCTTTGCTTGTGTGTGTGTATGTGTGTGTGTGTGTGTGTGTGTGTGTGTGTGTGTGTGTGTGCGTGTGTGTGTGTGTGTGTGCATGTGTGTGTGTGTGTGTGTGTGTGTGTGTGTGTGTGTGTGTGCATGTGTGTGTGTGGTGTGTGTCGGTTTATGTGTGATGGAAATAATGAGATGAGTGAGAATGAGAGCCAGACAATAAGCAATACATGCAGAGAGTGCTTCATAAATAAGTTAACATTTGATGCACACATGACTTTGGCCAATAAATTAGCTTTAAAGACACCTCAATTTCCCAGGATCTTCCCATAACTGAGCCTCACATTTTAATCCGAAAACTGCAACACCTGTGGTGTTAAATATTTAAATGTATAACCACTGATTCAGCTCCTCCTAAAGCAGAGTACATCAACATTGTTCTGTCAGATTCAAACATTTCTTATAACATTTCAAAGACTCACAAACCCTCCAAATCCTTTGTACAGATGTTGTGTGAGTCGTTTTCAAGAAAAGGTGCTGTCGTTCTTTGCTATTCTCCCTTTGTCCTCATGTACATGCTTGCTCTAAAACCTCCGAACCGTGATAATAGCTGTTCCCTCTGGGGTTAATACCCCTTATTACAGAATACACCCCCTGCTTTTGACAACGGATTATTATCAGGGCCAATGACAAATGGGGAGGAGTGGGTGGGAGCTGGATCCGTAAAATGAGAGGGGGGAATGATAAGAATAGGTTTGTTTTTCATTCAGGGTGGGGAAGAAAATTACGTATTTGGTAGCAGAATGCTGCAAATAGTGCCTCATTCATTTGTAGCTGCAGCAACCTGTTCAATGCTAATGCAGTAAATTAAACTTTATGATCAGAACCTTCACCAAGGGATTTTAGCCACGCCTCAACCACACTTTGTATATGAACAGACAGTCCTTGGGAAACGTCTGTCACCGTGTTAACATCTCTCAGTATGGTTGATGAGACGTTTCCAGATCATTTGTTTTGTCGGAAAGCTTGTCCTTCAGGAGTTCTGTCAGAAACAGAAAACTGGTGAAATAGTTTTCAATAAAAAAAGAAAAGAAAGATGAGGATGTGGGACCAACATGTGTTTTTCTTAAATTGGTGTTTACACTCCCAGGGGGCTTGTCAGTCAAACGTCTGCTTCCTGGGGAGAAATTAAGGGACAGGGGTACAATTGGCAAGAGTACAGGAAAGTGTGGGTGTAAATCCTACAGCCCCACAGCCAAACAACAGTCTTTTTGTTCAGCCCTTTGTTCAATATCTCTGAAAGGGTGTAATAATGCTTAATTTACAGTTAAAAGACTATTCTTCCCAAGACAAAAGCCTAAAGAAATCCTAAAATGAATTACAGTTTACATTATACAATTATTTGTTATCAGAAAGGGTGACATTGTTAAAGGTAGATTGCATATACAATATTCTATAGGCACCACAGAGTCATTCTGTCAGCCCCGTGCTGACTTGAATGGGGATTGAGTAGTTCATTCATGCGGCTCATCTAGACTCTACAGATGTTGTCACTCCAAATTGATCAAATTCTTATAGTGACCAGTAGGGATCTATGGCAGAACCTACCATGGCCAATTCTTCTAGTGTATTCAAACATGTAATTCAATTGAAAATACATCTGTGATGCCACTGTGGGTTCATCTTGAGAGGGTGTGGCTGTGCTGCATCCAGCCGCTTGATTGTAGTAACTCAGGGCACCTGGGTCTGGTGCCCTGCAGCTATTTTAAAGCCTCTCTACTCCTCTCTGTTCTCCCTCTGCTTCTCCCTGCAGGCACCCCGGTTTTGTTGAGTATGCTATGAGTTCCTTCAGTTGCTTCACTTTGTGCACTTCAACACTCTCACACATCTCCATACAATCCTCACCCTGCATTTACACTACTGATGATACCACTGACATCAACACCTCATGCGTTACTTGCTTTGCACTTGATTCATTTGGTTGATTTGAATGTTTTGCTTAAATAAACATATTTTGTTAAACGTGGATATGGTGTGTCTCCTCTTTGTTGTGGCCTTTTGAGCCAGGTCATAACAACATCTCATAAATGTATCACCGTCATTTGATTGTGAAACATCTGATATTCGTTTCATATCCCAGTCTTTTCATCTGTTGCTTTTCAGAAGAAAGTCAAAGTCTGATCTTCACAAAGAAGTACTTATGTGTCTAAAGTTGCCTAAAGCCATTTTTGAGTCTCTCCAGTCAGCTGAGGATAGACTGTCCGGCTTGTGTGCTAAAGAGTATTCAGTCAGTGAAGGAGCACCAGCTGCTGAGAGCCATAATGATAAGCAATGAATCCACCTGGCATTACTGTGGGCTGGAGCCTGCAAAGCCAATGCGAGGAATCCAAGAATTCAAAGCAAACATATTTCTGAGTTTCTAAAGCAAATAATTCAATTTCATTTCATCATAACTGTAGACTTTGTAACTTGTAGCTCCTAATAGCCGTTCCTTGTCCTTTCAGACCTGACCTAAATGAACCCGCCTTGGACTACCGAATTACAATCAGAAATACTTTATTGATCCCTGGGAGGAAAATAAGTCGAACCCAGGACCTGAATTCAAGACTTGAACCCGACTATAGACTAGGTTATATTTCTGCTGTTTCTAGAGCTGGTCCTTGAAAGTCAATAAGTCGAATGATCCGAATGTGTGAGTGATTGCAATATATTTTCAGCTATATATGAAAGCAGATGAAAAAGCAAAATCTGAGAGCCCTCACTGGTTGTATACATCTTGGCCTACTATGTGTGCAAGGGGCTGATGGGACACAAATGAGTCAGGAAGGGGGAGGTGTGACTGTCGACAAGCTTTGGGTCGAAGGTCACATCGACTGAAGTCTGAGCACAGAGATCGAATTAAATCATTAAAGGATTGTCCTAGTCTTGAAAGTGAAGCATAGATTTTCAATGGATTAAATATAGGTCTTGTATCGGCTGGATATTAATAACTGGTGGCTTGTGGGAGTGATATAATGTTGCTATTCCTGTAGTGCACAGCTCTTTAGAAGCGGTGATTTCTCATCTTGGT